TATTTGTTTCAACCAAATAGGATGTTGGTTGATTTAACTTTTTTACAATCTTACCATACTCTTTCAGGTCTCTCAACCAGACTAATCACCTACGAGTAATTCTTGCAACTCTTTGCCAGCATGCCTTTTGTTATAGTTATTCGACATTTTCTCTATATACCTTTCCTGTCCCTTGGGAACTGATCTAGTATAACTCATTTCAAAACTTGAGACAATATTGGGAGAGGAGAACGAATTTTATGGTTAAATAACAACTCAGCTGGTGAAAAGCCATTTTATAAAGAAGTAGTTCAACGCCTCAATTTGACTCTTGAACTGAGGAAATATAGGACTACTTGTAATAAAGCGGAAATCGTACTCTTGGCTAAATTGTTCAAATTCAAAACGAAATTGCCCGCCATTGTCAGATCGAACTATGTCCGGAATACCATATCTATAAAATAATTATTTCAGCTTGGTGATAACTGAGCAGGCCGTAAAGTGATGTAAGCTTAAAAATTTCAAAAAATCTAGAAAAATAATCTGTAGCTATAAGGTACCAGAACCCGTCCAGTTTGTATAAATCGCAGGCAACTTTTTGCCAAACCCTTTCTGGAAAATCATCCTTCAGAAAGGGTTCCCCTTTATTTACACGTAGCTCCAAGCCACTGTGGGCAAATTCTGACTAAATTTTCGATTTCAGTTGATAACCCTAACCACCAAACCAAAAGTTTTTGCCCGCGCTCTACACGCTCTTTACAATGCCCTGATGTATATCATGTATACAATTCAAAATTCTTGATTGTAAACAGGATGGGATAAGCAATCGTTGGCCTTTTAACAAATACCCGTTACAATCGGAAAAGTCAAAACGATACTGAAAATAAGGGAGAACTTCATGATCAATAATATTCTTATTTGTTGGCCCATCTTTCAAAGTGTAATCACGTAATTTTATACAAATCTCGTCTTTTAATTGCTCTTGTTTTATTTGCTCCAAAGGGTAGTGTTTTACCTCAAAGGAATGTGTGACTAAATTAACAAAAATGTCAGTCTTCAGGACCTATTCGCCGTCATCAGGTGGAGTGTTATCAAGAAAGTTCCTGGAAAGCGGGTCTGCCACTACTAAATATTTTCCAGGAATGTGGTACCTATACCGCGTAATCATAGCGCATAAGTCTTAGTCTGAATCTTTGTAGTCTAGGAGTCAGTTCGTCTATAGGTTTGGTACAGAAAAATTTGAACGAGAGGCGAATGATCAGTCTCTAATGATACTTTAATTCCTGATATCGCCTTTTTCATTTTCCTGCATCAAACACGCCCCCCTATTCCAAAACAGGAAACATCCGCTGACACAATGGTTTTTTTTAGAGCGGTCAAAATATTCCAAGCAGGGACTTTCTTGTAGGAGTTGTTTCACCTTGGAAAAACTTTGCTTTTGAGATATGTTCCAACTAAAGTTTGTATTCTTCTTCAAAAGTGTTGTCAATGGTTCTAATACATGTGATCGGCTAGGCAAAAATTCGACTTGAAAAAATACCGGCATTTGAAATATGACCCAAAAATTTCAACGAATGAATCCCAAAATTACATTTCTCTTTATTGAGCGTAATGCCTTCAACTTTAATTCGTTTGAGGATCTCAAATAATATTTAGTTATGCTTTTCTAAGGTCGATGCATATATTAAAATATCATCGATATGGAAAACAACACCCTCTATACCATTAGGAATCCTATGTAAAAGCATTGAAAAGTACTCTGGAGCACAGGTAATTCCAAATGGAAGGCGTTTGAAAATGAATCGTCCGAAAGGAGACATAAAACAAGTTAAATCTTGACTATTTTTATTGAGACGTATCTGGTAAAATCCAGAGGTAGTGTCTAATCAGTCTAATCGAATAAAATATTGTGAGCCTGAAACTTGAGCAAGAATTCGCTCGACTTTCCCGATGGGAAATGTGTACGCAGAACGGCTTTATTCAGTTTCGTATATCGTAACACCTACAATTTATTTTTTTTATTTTTACGAACAATGGAGCTAACCCAGGGGGTATGGTAAATCATCCGGTTCTATAATATCATGGTTTTGGAACCCTTCCAGTTCTTCTTTGAATGGTTTCAAAAGCGGGATTGGGCACCACTCGGGGTACTGACTGAATGAAAGGCTGAACTTCTTGATAAATTTTGATAGTCATTCATATCTGTTTGGAAATTTTGATTCAACTTAAAATGAATTTATCTGAATATTATTTAATCGTTTACATTTTTTATAGCTGACTGCCCAATATTGGTTTACAAAGCGGTTCTATTACATACATTTCAGTAAAACACTTTTTCTCAAAAGAACTTTTAGTAGCATATACAGAATTCCCAGGACATTTAATTTTTCTCCTGAGGATCTGTAACTTTCTTGTAGCATCTAGAAAGTTGTTGTAATATATCCTCATGCAATGATTCTACGGGAATACATGTAATTATTTGCCCCAGAATCAATCATAGAATCAAACTTTTTATCAATTTCTAAAATTTTGAGTTTAATTATCCATTCTTTATTGCGAATATTATTAATATAAATAGTGCATGAAAAGGTTGACTTTGGAGCAGACACTATCAAGATTTGTATCGTTTGTTAAGTTACTTTGGATGGATCTCACCTTGTTCGCACGGCATATTACACCCCATCAATATCCCAGTTTTTGACAAGATCTGCATCTTGGATTTTCTGCTGGACACTCTGCTCTCTTTCATGTGGTGATAATCCACAATACTGGCACTTATCTCCTTTGAAATCAGCAGAAATTTGCGACCTGGAAACACTGTTGCCCAACGCCTGATTATCTGCTGTACGATACCTCCCAAATGTGTAACGGTTTTGATAGGTGAACTGACGAGGTTTTCCACCATAAATTGCTCTTGCGCCAGTGTTAACCGCGTTCACTTCGGTTCCTCCGGCATTGCTTCCGCTCTGGGTACAGGACACCTGTAATTCGCGACTTTGGCTTGCCAAAAGTTCTGCTTGTTTTGCCTCTAATATGCACTGTTGTAATGTTAAATTGGAATTTAACTGAAGTCGGTCACTTGTGGGTTTATCTGACATACCGTCCATACCAGCAACTATTATATCCCTTATTAACTCATCTTTAATAAGATCTCGGTAATTACAATATTCAGCCTGTGAATGTAAGTTAGTTATACAATTGTCAATAGACTCACTCGGCACCTGAAAACGTGTTGAATTTATAGCGTTCAAAAATGACATTTCTTCTAGGAATAAAATGATTTTCAAATTGAGTTAAAGCTTCATCATACGTGGAAGCAGGTTGTTGTTCAAATTGTAGCATAATTTGTTCTAACTCTTCGCCTAGAACATACATAAGAATGTCAATTTTTTCATTGTCAGATTTAAGATTCTGTCCAGGCACAGACATAAATCGTTCAAAGCGTTTCTACCATTGCGGCTACGCTGATGTTGGGTTATCTAATTTATTGGGTGCATGTACTGGCACACAAAACTCCTATACCTACTGTGGCTGGCCCCGTTTGCGATGTCATTGCAGTACTTGACGTATTCATTGTTTTGAAAAAAACTTATCACTTTTCTGACTTTTCACTCGATTTTGGCGTCGAAGTGTGGTCTCCTGAACCATAAGTCTATGAAGCAACGTGACACATTGCAACAGAGTTTCTAACAGAGAACAACATTTAATCAAGCGTTTTCTACCGTCACAATTAATTAGAGAGAAAAAACGGTGGGAAGGGATAGCTCACCAAAGAAAATAGGATATCTGCAAGAAAGATGCTGATTTCCGTAATAGTGTATTTCTTTTGTCCTTGTTTACAAAGTATCGAATTATTTATAGAACGGTAATCAAAGTTGCAAAAGAACTTTACTTTAGCAAACGAATTTCCGATTCTAATAACACTCAAAAGGAGGTCTATAATTAATGAAATAAGAGGTAGAAGTCCAATCTTCTCCTAACAATCTACATATTTTCTTTTGCTGTATAGCTGGAACTCATTCATCCCAGCTCAACTCCGGAGTCAATCCCCTAGATTTGACAGACAAGAATGTCTCAAATTTATACTTCTTGGCACCAGTTGATGTTCCTGAGAACAAAGAAAGCCTTACCCTTCAAAAACAAAAACTCCTCGGACTATGATGACATATCCACTACCTACTTATTACTCCATCTTAACGATAGTAGGGGTTTTCGAGCGCTTGGAAATTCAATAATTGATTCCTTTCCAAGGGTAAGTATATTTCCTAAAATTCTTAAGCATACAATGATTGTACCTCTTCACAAAGGGGGAGACTCAGACTCTCCAGGAAATGTCCATCTTATTTCTCTTCTTCCTCCACTTGGTAAGCTGATGAGAAACTGTTCAAAATTAGACTTCTTTCATTTTTGATTCCTCTCCGATAATCAATTTGGCTTCCAGTATGGCAAAAGATCTGATGCGATATTCTCCCTTCTGGAAGATATCTATTTGAGTACGATTGAGAATTACCTTTAAGCAGCGGTGTTTTGTGACTTGTCGAAGAAGGCCTTCGATCGTATCGATCATTTTTTGTTGATCTGTAAACTTTAAGTGTATGTTTTTTTTTAGAGGTATGACTCTAAATTGGTTTCAGTCGTATTTAAGTGATCGTCCAGCAGGTAGTTTCATATAAAAGCGGGTTTTCGGATAGAATGTGGTGTGCCTCAGGGCTCTATCCTTGGTCTGCTTTTCTTCTTGATCCATATTAATGGACTATCACCCCTCTTAGGGTCGGGGAAAGTATTAGACTTTTCGCTGACGAGACGACACATCTATTGTTTGGGATGCAAACAGTGGAAAATTCTTAAAACGCATGAATAATGTCGTGGTGCGAACACTATGATGAATTATTATGAACTTAATTGTTGTGCGATACACATCCAATTTCAATACGCACAATACAGTCAATATATGCGAATGTCACTGATGTGTAACCTATATTCCTATAAGCAATTAAAAGGCAAGCTCTTCATTATTGAGTATTTTTATTGAAAATATTTCCAACAATACAATTTTCTCTGAACACTTAATAAACTAATAATTTACTAGGTACTAAAAATATTTAAATCTTATAAATATAAAAGTTGAAATAAATATTTTTGGCCTTAAATTTAAAACATTTAAGTGAGTACTTTACATATAACTAAAATAGGTTTATCCTTAAATTTTATATCCTATAGTTATAGTAATAATTTGAAACATTGAAAATTTTTAAATAATATACTTAATAAAATACACAATCACATCTAACATATTAACCTTACATATTCCTATAATATTCACAAAATATATTCCAAAAGTCTATCACAACTTTTTTCCTGTAAGAACCACATTCTATTGTCCCTAGTCCCTATTGTCGAATTTTTATAAATATTTTACAATATCTCGTTTATGTTTCACTAAACTATAAAGAAACAATATGGCAAGAAAAAAGTTTTTAATATCTAAAAATTAAAGCCTTAGCATTGCATAAGGTTTAAAATTAAATTAAGGACTTGCAAATAGCATTAACAAAATAAACAATTAGGACACTTCCCTTATCATTTTTGTATCAGCCTTTTTTTCCACATAATGTGGGAGAAAAATTTGTTTACAGAAACTCCCTGTACACTGTTATTTTTTCTAATCATCATACCTCCAACTTATTACACATTTACAGGTCTTGAACTATCACACATCGCATCCTGGACATTATTCCTATTTTCAGTTTTTTCGGACCCACTTTGCCAACCAGAATCCATCGTCCCATCACTGTGGCATCCTTGTCCCTGTATTTCTTCTTCACCATTTGCATCTCCGTATAATAATCCAGCTGGATTGCCACCCAAGTTCTGAATTAATGCGGATATGTTTGAGCCCATGCTTCTTCTATTTGTATTAGGTTGGTTAAGATTCAATGTTTTTGGAGGAATGTTTCTGGGACTTGGTGTATTAAAATTATTGTAACTATTTTTTGTCTGGTTGTAATAGTTCTGATCGAAATTTACTCCGGAAATGGTATTGGTGAGATTGCTGCTGTTTCTGAAGCTCTCTTTTTCTGGAATAATTTCGTATTGAGCATCTGGTGCTAAAAATTGGTCTACGTTTGCACTATTAAATCCTCTATGCATTGACATTTGGTCCATTGATTTTTCTTGGAAATAATTCTTACTGCAGCATTCGTCAGGAGATATTGTATCGTCTGTAGTTTCCGTCATAGGCGTTTGGACGCTACTACACAAACTATTTTGTGATATATCTTTTGGCAAGAGTTGTAAACAGGGATCTGTATTAAATTCTGATAAATCATCTGAGCTTGGTACAGGAAAGGGCATTCTACTTCTAGTCGACATTTGACGATTTGCCATTCTTTGAGCCAAATAATCTTCCTCCTCAGGAATAATTGCTTGTGACAAATCTTGAGCAATAGCTTGAGGCTTATTTATTTCTTCTTTATTTTCCACGGGTTTTTGTAAGGACATTAGCCTTCCAGTTTTTGGGTTAGATTCTAAAGCTTCATCATACAATGACGAATCTTGCCCGTCATTTCTTACTGATATATTGCAACAGCTACTTACATCTGCAAAATAAACTTCCGATTCTGTTGCTTCAGGTTTTTGGGGACTGTTTTCTTGCTTTTGAAATGCAGCATTTTCGACTCCTTGTAGTCTAGGCAGAAATCTACACTGTTGAACTTCAGAACTGATCGGTTTAGTTGTTTCAGATACACTAGGTTCATGATAATCATTCTCAACTGGTTCTTGACGCGGTTCTTCTTGGCTACTTTGAGCAAAGACATTTTGCACATTTGTTCTGTGGTTGGAAGGTTGATTGATAGATTTTACTGAGGCGATATCGTTGGCAGATCTTTTCTTGACTTTGCGTACTGGTAAAGTGTGCGATACTCGCTCTACACAACTTGAAGTGTCGGTACTTTCATTATTTTCATTGGACTGGTGCACTTCAGGCTCTGTAGTGTTTTCATAGTTGTCTTTGTTATTCAGATGTGGCCTTGCTCTTCTGGAACTTCGGAATTGTGGGTTGTTTTCATTCATTTGACAATGAGATTCGTGTCCATACGGGTGGTGATGAATATGATGATATCTGGAGTCGAAAATAGGCAAGATTTAATAAGAAATTTTAACAGTACCTATCATAGTGAAGTAGGGATTAACATATGGCCAAAGTGATGTAAACAGAACATTTAAAATTTGACATTGAATCAATGAAAGAAGAAGAAGAACTAAATATTCGGAACAAGTGAAAATTTACGGATAGTGAAATGAAGATGATAGAAGCAACAATGCAGGAATGCATTGAAGAAACCATTCAGTAATGGAAAAAACATCAAGATAAACAAGGTTTTGTAAATCCGTATACAAGTCAAGGATAAGGATTGGATGTGAATCCTGGTTTAAAACAAAGGGCCAAAAAATGCAACTTTAAACTAGAGAAATAAAATTTGGTAAAAATATACAAGCATTATTGTGAAAAAAATAAAAAACAATCTGGATGGGGTTTATTTATAGGGAATAGTGAACACAGGAAAAGACACGAGAAAGACTAATATAAACGAAGGTGAACAAATTAAGGAAAAATATGGAAGGACATTTCTTACCTCCTCTTAATTTATCAATATATTTACCTTGCAGGTGATTGATGTAAAAATCTTCTAGCAGGAGAATTAGGGTCTGAATAAGGAGGAGGAGGACCCCAAACATAAACTCCCCCTACTGGTGGTCTGTTATCAAGCATACTATAAGAACCAGTCGACCCAGAAATCTGATCGCTTTGCATGGCATTGTCGCCTGAACGGTTACTGAAGCCGTATTGACTGTCAGCACTACTGACTGCTCCTTGATATGTTAGGGAATTATCCCTAAAAATATAATATTGTTTAGATTTTGTATATGAAATCGTTTAAAGTATGGGATTACCTAGGAGGTTCAGCAGGCTCCGGATTAGCTCTAGACCAAGGAAGTCTTCTCCAGCTCCATCCAGGTCTGCCTCTACTTGGATCTGGGTTAACTGGAGGAACGTCTTCCGGATTGGGCGAGTAAAAGTTTCCAACTCTTCCAGGAGTCCAAAACCTATAACAAAATGGTCATACAGAGTCGATATTAGTTTTGAAATTGTGACAGTACCTGTCTGGCGTATGTGTATCCCATGGATAAACCTGTGGTGCAGCTGACGCAGAAGAATATCTACATTCTTCGCAACAGCTGCAGTAAATTGTCGATGGAACCGGTGGTCCTCTCATGGAACCTGGAGCACTGGACGGTGGTACCGTTTGCTGTTGGTAAAATGATCTACACCTCAGTTCTAATTGTTCCCAATACATTTTCTTTTTTTCGTGGCTGAAAAATAGAATATAACAGATGATAGCAATGGTGCAAATTTTAGATATCATATATTTTGAATATATTTTCATCATTTCATAAGCTAGATAAGGGTGACATGAAAGTGATTTTGCAAATAAATACATTTGAATATTAATAATATTACATAGGTGGATCCCTTTTTGAAAATGGCCAACAAGGATTGAAAATTAATGACATATTAACACAGATAGACATTTTGTGTCGCCAACATCTAGGAGAGCAATCCACCTCCGGTTTATTCCCTCCAATTAGGTTGCCAAATTGTTACAGCTTCCAACAATAAAAACGACTACTGGCCACGCCGGTTTTCTAAAACAAGCGGAACACGCGCTGCAATCGATTGGCATATCAACGCGCCCATCGAACTTATATCATATGGTCGACTACTTAAGTGAATACCACTCTGTACATCAATTTTATTAGAGTGTGTCGACGAGTCAGCATTAATTTGGTATAAATACCGTGCCGAAATCCATTACCAAGAGACTAGGGCCGGTGCAAAGCACCCCAATTGGGAAAAGCCCCTCTAGCTAAGTTCTCCTCCCAGTGCAAAATACCTTCTTTGGGAAACGCCCTTCTGGGAGTATTGAACGCAGCAGGCTATAGGTCCAGTGAAAACTACCTTTATTGGAAAACGCTTTTCTGAACCTGTCTCAAACCTAGCTTCAGTCACGCCCGTCACGCCAATTGTACAGAGTGTACATAATCTGCAGTCCACAGAGTGGCTTAAGTAGTACGTCCCTCCGTAGAAGAGACATATGTTATTATTCCTAAGGTAATATTATTCTATATATATTCAATACATATTTTATTGTACCTATACCAAGCGAGTTTCTCTCTACCTGAACCCCACCTACGCCCCCAGGTCACGCTCTTGTTGTGACGTCCCAGGACGAAACGTATAGGAGTTGTGACATATTCAGTGGAGGCGCCGGGCAAGGAAGGGGCAACCTTATAGAAAAACACCAGGGCATTGCCTTGATTGAGTCAAGGTTAAGAGGTATCTGCTGTTGGGGGCTCTGATCCCAGAATCTGTAGGACTCTGTTTTTATATTACAGAAGCGGGCTCTTAGGTACATCAGTGGTGCTAACAATAGATCACTGCAGACCTTTATTTAAGAAAGAGAAAATCCTAACTTTATACGGTATGTTTATTTTGGTAACAGACACACTTGTCTACAAAAATCGGCACAGACTTATGTCCCATAAGCTATCTATTTGACCCGAAATGCGTCCAACTTAATGTTACCCATACCCCACTCCACACTGGTAAAAAAATATCTCTTCATATCATATATGAAAGCATTAAGATCTACAATCACTTGCCAAGGAAGAGGTTGCTGGTTGGTGCGGCTTATTATAGTTTGAACGAATTTTATTGTGATCGTTTTTAGCTTAGGATTTTGTTCTCGTTTTTTTATTTTCTGTTGTCAGATTTTTATACTTAGAATTTTTTTAATAGCATACTAGGATATACCTATTTTTATTATGACTTTATTTTTTTATTTTTAAGATTATTTTTAGTGCTTTGTCAATGAGAACTTTATGTACTTTGGACAATAAAGCTTTTTTGAATTTGAATTTGAATTACAACCAATACAAGTAGGAACGCTTTTCGACAAGATTGGCATCGACCTATCGGGTCCATTAAGAAGAAGTGATGAGGGAAAAGGAATGATAGTAGTAGTAACCGCTATGCCATCACAGCTGCCTTGCAAAATGGAAAAGCAGAACCAGTCGTGAGATTTTTATTAGAAAAGTATTTTTGATACATGGAATATCTGCTGAAGCCGTGCTATTGTATGCTGAAAATGAAACGGACATACTACAAATCAGGGGACAGGCACTCTTAATACGATCTATAGCAGTAGAAAATATACAGAAAAGACAAGGGAAAGATAAGGGGCGTTTTGATGAAAGAATAGAGCATTGGACTTTGAAGCTGGAGACAAGTGTTTGTAATATGAGCCGGGAAAAATAGACCCGTAATTTACAATGTCTCAACAATAAAAGTTAAATGTAATTTGATAATCAAAAATTGAATTTCCAGTATTTCAAATAAGTATCAACAAATTGAAAATGAAACAAATTATCGTTGACCCAACTTAATTAAAATACGTTCAAATTTTATTAGTTAGACACCAAGCGTGTGTCATCACATAAATCAAATCCATGAAAAGATTAAAAACAAGGGCAAAGTAATTAAATTGGTGACTTAGTGACAGATTTCATGATGAACGGCCGACACGAGTTTTCGGCATCCTTTGAGTTATTCGTCCTCACATTCTTTCATTCTTAAACGAAATCTGCTGACCCCGATAATCCAGGAAATTGCGACATAATTATTCGGTTTTTGAACAAATAAATTATATTTCCTAGGAAAGAAGAACGGTCAATAGCCAGTGTTGTGTAAAGTGGCCGCAAAATATTTTGGGGTGAATGAAAAATATTGAAACAGCGGTTTCGGAATTTTGGAATCAGTTTAAGTTTAGGTCCGGTTGAGTCTTCAGTTCAGTCTTGAGTAAAAGTCTTACAGTACCTAATGAGTCAGTGCGGATGAAATTCGCGAAGAGTTTCTTCTATTTTGTTGCCTCGGGAAAACGCGTTAAATGGAATCTTTAAATGAGTAACGGAAAATTGTGAAAGAAAGAACATTTAAGTTCATTCAACATTATGTGCGAGCTTTGAGGGAATCAATTATCGAGAATTAGACTCAATAATTAGTAGTATTCATAGAATTATCTCGAGTATAGAAAGTCGGGCCTCGGAAAAAAGTAAAAATTTCAGTAAATAACTCGAATTAAGAAAAAAGTAAACGTTTCAGTTTTTATGTGCGTGCTATTTTGAAGTGAATAACAATTGAAATAATTAAGTGACTTTAAGGGCGATAATTTAAATCTAAGTACTCTAGTGACATGTTTATTTGACTTTATCAATGTTGAAATGACTATGAAGTGAATTGACTATGAAACTTTATTGCATAAATATTATTATCTTGACTGAATTGACTTTGAATATTTTGTGCTTAGTATAGATAGAGAAATTTAATTCAAATGACTGTTAATTGAAATGAATGTTACTGAAGAGTTTGGATAATCGAATTGACTGTTTTGTTCCGTTTAGTAAATGACTAGTTAGATATTTTGGCTTCTAATTAGATGAATTTAGATTAAATGTTCATTGTTTTCATAGTATTCACTCTGGCTAAGTGTAAAAGGTGTTACGGATTTTAAAATATTGTACCTAACGTAGTAGGGCTATATGAAAGTGTTATTAAAGTACAAGGCTTTTTGATTGCATCATTTTATTTAGAAGCTCAGAGACAATGTAAAGGTGGCTGTACGATGGCATCAATTTAGAACTGTTTATTTTTGTATTGAAAGGTGTTGGATTAGGGTTTAGAAAATATTTACCATTGTAAATGGAAATGAAAATATGTTTATTTTCTCATTAATAAAGTATAATTATTAACAGATAACCATTAATCAGTTGTATCTTCCAATTGCAAATAGACCTGCCCCCACAATTTTATTTTTCAGTAGCTGCCCAAGGAATTAACTACCAACCTAAATAATAGAGTACTTGGCGCGGATGCTACATGTTTATCCCAATCAGAAAGGTTGGAAGAAGTGAAAAGTTACTTTTAAGATGATTTGGACCATATAGATACTTAGAAAAATTGGAAAAGTAAATTACGAAGTAGAAAAAATTGGTAGTAGAAAAAAGAATAAAGATACGGTCCACGTCAGTAGGATGCTGCCCTACAATGACCTGTGGACAGTAGGTGCACCTATCGAAGAGTATAGTGAAGATGAAGAAGACGAAGAAGAAGAAGTAAGGGAAGAGGAAGAAAATGAGCAGTAGAAGAAAGTGGCTACATGTACATCATAAAAATAGAGTTGAGGAGGGAGAGAAACAAAGCTTAGTATGAAATAAATTTAAACAGGATTTATCCAACTCTCTTCCTTCCAGATTTTTAGTGATACTGACTCAATATCGCCACAAGCCAGGAGGTAGAAGTATCCGCCTACGCAACCTGTAAACTTCTACCAGATACAATTTCATACAAAGGGTCAATCCTATTAACATAACAGAGTACCCTGGCTAGAAGAGCCTTTAGAACCAACAATACTGGGAGGCAAGAAGTGTCAAGAATATTGAAGAAATAGCATCGACTGTAGACAAGTAATTGAGAAGTCTAACTAAGAACTAGAATATAACTAATCTAAAATCAAGGACGAAGAGCAACAGGGCAATTTTATTTCATTTTTGATGATTCCATTTTTAACATACATTATTTTTGTTTTATACGCACGAAATCGCATTATCTGACCAGAGGACGAACGGGGCCAAGAAACGAATGACGCCACTACAACCTGGATCAGGGATTGCTTCGGATTGAGCAGGGGATCTCTGATCCAAAGATCTAGGAAGCAAGGAACCAGACACTATGACAGATTTGGCCAACCAAAACCTGACACCAAGAAAACACAAACGTTATGGTACCTGGCCTGGAAGACGCATCTGGTCAGACGGCATGACCCAATCCTTGACGGGATCTCCTGGCGCACCACAGTTTTATCCATTTATTTAAATTTTAGTAATCGCATCGCTCCTATTATTCCTTTCGCTTTTTCTATTATATTGTATTTTATAGTTTCTATTTTATTGTATTGTATTTTATTGTATTGTAATTCTATTAGGTATCTTGTCATATTTTATTTTATTTTTAATCTCTCTTCTACAAGCATTGGGGGCCAATGCTTTTCAGAGGAGGGGCATATGTCAACTACTTAAGTAAGTACCGCGCCGAGATCCATTACCGGGAGACTGAGGCTAGTGCAAAGTACCTCAATTGGAAAAAGCCCCTCTAGCTAAGCCTTCTTCCAGTGCAAACTACCTTTATCGGGAAACGCCCTTCTGCAGCCTTATTCTTGAAATAGGGGAGCGGCGTTCCCAGGAAAACGAGTGTAATATAAGTAACAAAGACGGAACACTCGTTCTCCTGGGAACGCTGCTCCCCTGTTTCAAGACTAAGGACCCTGTGGGAGTATCGAACGCAGCAGACTAGGTCTAGTGCAAATTACCTTTATTGGGATACGCCCTTAAGGACCTGTCTCAAACCCAGCTTCAGTCTTCAGTTACGCCAAGTGTACAGAGTGTACATAATCAACAGAGTGGCCTAAGTAGTACGTCCCTCCGTAGAAGAGAAATGTTATTATTCATAGGGTAATATTATTCTATATATTCAAAACATATCTTATAGGGGGAATCGCAACAATCCAATATAACTTTAGCTACATTTATAATAACTGTTCTTACCTTAGTAATTGATAAACTAGCATGCAAGAAAATATGCACACCAATATTCCACTCACAGAAAGTCCAAACATAGCTCTGAGGCATGAATATAATGCTCCATGGATTACTTCGCAATCTGGCGTTGAGTCAAAGACGTATCTCATTCCTAAAATTGAAAAATACCATAAAGCTTCTAAAAAGTTATAAATATAAAACCGCTCAAATACGCAATTATATCTCTAAAGGTACCTACTGATATTGATCTTCGAAACTTCCAAATATAGAGCAAGCAGCCAAGCTGATTAAGCTATGTCGGAAATGTGCAACTAGGACAACGATGAAACTTGGAATTTAATAATTTAGTTTCAAGAAGCTTAAAAGTTGGGGAATTAGATTAAAATTTAGAACATCGCTGGATTATGGTGAGTAGTTTATTATGATGTAAAATTGAGTTTAATGGCTTTTTAAATTATTTGTTGCGTACAGAATTTTTCGTGTAAATATGAAAACAAAGAGACGTATACCTACCGATAAGAAATAATAATTTACGATTTACATTTAGGATTTGCATTCTTTGTCATCAGTCTTACTCTGATGTAGAAGTCATGTCCAGTTCGATTTCAAAAAATTAGCTACCAAGGTAGGTATTCTGATTTTTCGTAGTAGTAATCTTTTGATAGTTTTGTTAATTTCCTCTGAACTGGAAGGTAGGTTATTATCTGGAAACTTACAAATTGTTTTTTCTATTGGGTGATAATTAGGTATTTATGTTTTGAGGAAAACCACCTATTTGAAATATTATTTTTTCAATTCTTAATTTTTTAAAAAACGTTTACTATAGAAAGCAAATGGTGAATGTTGCAACCATGTATGTGCTGTAAAGTTTATGAGAACGCGGGACACGCCACGAAAAGTGAAGGTACCGAAGGGAAGATAGAAAATGAGAGACCAGGGAAGAAGCTTTTTATTTTGTATTGAACTGATTGTTCGATCAAGTTTGTGATAAGTTTGTGTCATAAGGAGTATTCACAGGTCAGTTGAATAAATGTTATTTTGTTTCTGAGAGTACAATTTATACAAGTATTAATATTTTCATTTTCATTTTTTTTTGTTTGTTTATACTATATTTTATAACATGTGCATTGTTCATGTAGGTATTTAACAAAAATCGTTTCATGCTGTGAACAACGCAGATAAAAAGTAAATTAAAACCTGAGAAATTATGTACTGTCTTTTGTGCTGGGTTTGTAATTTTTTGTATTCAGAACGTGCATTAGGGCCTTGTTGAATCTACTAACAGTTTTCTACCCTGACGAGCAAATATCCTAGCAAACAAATTGAAAGATCAGTCTAGAGATAATGGCTTAAAATAACAACTATAGCTGAGTAGTCTCCCAAATGGGACCTCAGTACCTGCTGGCAGACTGGCTAACTAATCAAAACTCTTCAGTATTGAATATAGGTGGTGTTGATTGAATGTGGCGTGTGGAATGAAAATTTTAGCACAGGGGCGGTACCTAGTTTGAACTATTATTGACGATTGAATTACAATTATATATATATATTTTTTTAATGACACAGTATGTTTTGATTTTTGAGGAATTGAGATCGAGGGTTTCTCTGCCGTGCTCTTTCCCTTCGTGAGTTCCAGGTTGAGAACGATACGATTTTCTAATAATAAATAAGACGTTTCACAAATTTTTCGTTTATTTTACACATCAAAACTTTCCTCAAATTTCCCTAATTTTGCTATTGTCGGGCGCATGTCAAGTAAGTAAAATTGAGTAAGTTTTCACAACGTAGGTCCTATTTATTTTTCATTTCGTTTTGTAGAAGATTTGATAAAAGAAAAGATAATAAAAATTCAAACCGTTCAATCTTGCTGAACCAACCCGGGTAAATAATACTACAGTTTAGATAACTAGAGACGTAATGCTTTATTTTCTTTCTGTAGCTCCCACAATTTGAGACATATTGTCGTTGTCTTTGATAGAATTGTTTTTATCAGAAAAGTAGGTAATACAGCTTTGCTCTTACCTTCATCAGTACTGGATTGGGCTTCCAAAAGAACCGAATAACAGGTACAAGTTCTTGACTTCTGTGTATAAACGCATTCTCTTAGTGTCTGTAATCGGTTCATATGGATAACTGTGGTGGTGATAGTGACGAGCACACAGGTCAAGGCGCACACCAAACAGCACAGACCGCAAACTTTGATCTGTAAAACGTTCTTGGGTGATTTTTTCCATTAATAATCGATAAAACAAAAAAAAACAAGCTAAACAATAATAAAGCTCGTGAAAATGTAAAAAAAATCAATTCAAATGAAAATTACATAATAAATGCTTACCAAGTAGCTATATCTGTTCTTCCTCCGGGCTAAGCTTATTACGCACAGGCCAGTTAACATGAGCTAGAATAATAAATAAAACGGGTAATTTGTATTGAAACAGAGCAACTAAATTATAGCGTCAAACAACTAGATTGGTACCTTCTTAAACAATAATCTACCTTTGAAAACATTTATGGTTTCTCTTAACAAACACAGCTTGTTTTTTGCAATTACTTATAAAATTGGTATTTATGATCTGTACATGTCTTTAAAATTACCAGAAGCCTTTGTCAAGTTCATGGTATTTAGGTACAGACTCTTAAATAACGCATTGCGTGAGCACATTTCGCTAAGTACTGTATTGCAAATAAACCCTACAAAAACTATTAAGTATTATTATCACGGTGAACAAAGGAACGTTTACGTAGGTATAGTTTTCTCATGCCATCGACTGCCGTGAGACCCTATGTAAGTGGTGACTGAAACCTGAAGTAGATAAGTAAAGACTCGATTTTTTTGGTCAAAAATTACAGTCCGGTCTTCGACGAATTAAAGTGAATAGATCATGAATTTTATTTTTCTTTAATTACATTTAATCGGTACCGTCATTAGGGAGGAAGACCCTTGAAACATTATTCATAAAACTGACTAGGTTATTCACAGAATTATCAAGAGAGACTGACACGTTACCATTAGCAGAAACTTTTTCGTCTTGCATGATATGTCACGACACCCTCACAACAATTTTTCTAAAAGAAAATGGGGTGAATTATTAATACTTGGACACGTTTTTGCAGACGTAAAAATAAATAGGCAGCTTTTTTGAATACGAATATACAGAATACTTCACTTTAGGAACTTCAAAGAGAGCACACCGACATATTTCATTTTATCTGCATAATTAATTTGAAATTAAAATGTTTTAATGAAGCTTGGAAAAAATAGGTTTATATTATATTATTGTAGGTACACACGAGGGTACACACCTACTTTTGTTGCCCGCTTGATTAATCTTACTCCACAACTTTGAAAAGTCTGACAAATAATAAATATAAAAACAGGTTCTTACCATTGTAGCTGGAACAAATGTAGGAATAGTTTCAAAGTAGCCTAACGTCGACGTATAGGACCTAAGTAGAAAATATACAGCTAAAAATAATGCTCCTAAGATGGTTGCCAAGCCTCCACATGCACAGCACCAAAAGACATATTTTCGGACACCTCCAGACGGTGGTGATGCTGAAAAAGAAAACATACTATTTTAGTCTAAAATGATTAATTTTTAGTTTAAGGAAAAAAATTCAATTGTCAAACAGCATTGATTTTTTAGTAGTAGTACGAACAGATAGGTAAGTCTGGCTCGATTAAATCAAGCTCATTTAAACTTTTTTAGTTTAAAACTTTGACCAGAATTTACCGTAAGGTCACTTTGGTCAGAAATATGGAGCTATATTCATGCAAATTTCTGCCGAAGGGTATACTCAAACTTCATGAAGTTCGTCCACTTTAAATGCAAACTGTCGAAAACTTTGATGATGGTTAAGACCCACACTTTATTGAGTGCCTATAGAATTATATTCTCAGGTTGAATCATTTTGGTCACAACTTGGTTTTCCAATGTAAAACGTAATAAAAGGATTTTCATTAGGAATTTGAAACAGACACGTCTTTTAACTTTGTAACATATAACGACAATGATAAATAACAACTTTTCGTGAGTTAGAGAAAATTTCAGCTCGCTGTGATTGAGACGATGTGGGACACAACAAAGACGAAGCTGCTAAATCAATATAAGGCTAAATATATCAATTTCATGACCAACAAAAAATAAATCTAACTTTTTTGTTCAAATGAAACTTGTGTATTATTTTAAAGGTCTTATGAAACTGACAACTGTGTAATTTGAGGACTTTGGCCTATCTTATTTAGCGGGCGAACTATCTATCGGCTATACCGGAGATTTCTAGTAGCAAATTCTCGAGAAATGTAGGAAATTGAATTGATTGGACGGTAAAGCAAACAAATATAGTGGGTAATATAATTTTGCTAACAGTTAGGTTGAAATTAAGTAGTTTTTAGTTTTGCTTGTTTTAATAGTGCGAAATTTACTCTGCATTATTTTGTCTATGCCTATCAATTTGTAACCTGAAAATTATAATTTTGATGTTATTGCCGTTAATATCATTGGAATTTATAGTGTCTGCTGATACTGGTCTGTCAGGGCCCTTATTCTCGAAACAGAGGAGTTCTGTCTTACTCGCCCATATTTATATTTCCATAATACCTACTCACAAAGAGAGCAATAATCGTTCTCGTGAGAATGCCCGTGAGTTCCTCGGTTTTGAGAATAGACTAATAGACATCCATGATGTTTGAGTCTGATCTATCGTTGGCTACAGCAAACACATTTCTGGATGAGTAGAAAAATGATCAACCTCTATTTTAGTCACTTCTACTTTACTTTTATCTCACTTTCTTCAAGTCAATTAAGGTTACGCGAGTCATGGTTTATTTGGAATTTTGCGAATGTTTCCACCCTCTTTTGTGATTTTGACTCTGATACTCTAAAAATTAAAATCTTGGTGTTTTCCTGTCTATTTATGTATGTGCCTTTTGTTGCCTTGGCAAGACAAATCAAATCAAATCAAAATCAAAAAGTACTCCCTCTTCCAGAGTAAACTCTTCATTGACAAAGCATATTGTAATGACCCGGGAAAAATAGACCCGTAATTTACAATGTCTTGAAAAAATGCAACAACATTTAATTTAATTGTAATTGAATAATCAAAAATTGAATCTCCAGTATTTCAAATCAGTATCAATAATAACTTGAAAGGTCATGAAACAAATTAGCGTTGACCCCAAATTAATTAAAATATTATACATATACGTTCAAATTTTGAAAAAAAAAGCCGGTGACCAAGCGCGTGTCATCACTTTTAACTCATAAATCAAATCCATAAAAACATTAAAATCTAGGCAGAAGTAATTAAATTGGGGATTTATGGCCGACACGAGTTTCGGTATCCTTTGATTTATTGATTTATTTGTCCTCACATTCTTAAACTAAATCTGTTGACCCCGATAATCCAGGAAATTGCGACATAATTATTCGGTTTTAAACAAATAAATTATATTTCCTAGAAAGGAAGAACGGTCAATGGCCAGTGTTGTGTAAATTGGCCGCGAAATAATTTCGGGGGAATGAAAAATGTAAAAACAGCGGTTTCGGAATTTTGGAATCAGTTTTAAGCTTAGTCTGCAGTCCAGTTGACTCTTCAGTCCAGTCTTGAGTTTAAGTTAACTAATGAGCAGTCCGGATAAAATTCAGGAGAGTTTCTTTTATTTTGTTGCCTCCGAAAAACGCGTTAAATCGAATCTTTGAAAAAGTAACGGAAAATTGTGGAAAAAAGAACATTTAAATTCGTTACGCACAACATTATGTGCAAGCTCTGAATAATCAAAAGAAATTAGAATAATTAAGTGACTCTAAGGGCGATAATTTAAATGTAAGTACTTTTGTGATAAGTGTTATTTTGACTTTATCAATGTTGAAATGACTATGAAGTGAATTGACTATGAAACTTTATTGCATAAATATAATTATCTTGAGTGAAGTGACTTTGAATATTTTTGTGCTTGGTATAGATAGAGAAATTTAATTCAAATGACTGGTAATTGAAATGAATTTTACCGAAGAGTTTGGATAAAGAAATTACCTGTTTTGTTCCGTCTAGAAAATGATTAGTAAGATATTTGGGTTTCTAATTAAATGAATTTAGATAAAATTTTCATTCTTTTGATAGTATTTACTCTGGCTAAGTACACGATTTTTGAGTATAAGTATTGTACAAAATTTGGCAGTAAGCGATTTCAGGGATTTTATACGAGATAGAACAGGGGGTTATAATAATTAAACTAAATTAAAAATTATTGTTTTGAGGTGTAAAAGGTGTTTAGGATTTAAAAATATTGTATCTAACGTAGTAGGGCTATATAAAAGTGTTATTAAAGTACAAGGCTTTTTGATTGCACCAATTTAGGACTGTTTATTTTTGTATTGAAAGGTGTTGAAATAGGGTTTAGAAAATTTGTTCCATGGTTATAGGAAATGAAAATCTGTTTATAACGGATAACCATAACCATATAAATCAGTTGTTTCTCTCAAGTGCAAATAGAACCGCCCCCACAATTTTATTTTTCAGTAGCTGCCCAAGAAAATAATCACCATCAAATACGACCGCTCGCAAGTATCATCTTGCTTTACAAATTAAATAATGAAATAATAAAAGTTGATACCTAAAAGAACAATATTTAAAATTCCATCTCCGTTAAGAATATGTTCACAAGGTGTCTCCAGAGAATTATTCAATATTATAGTAGGCATTAGTCAAGAGTAACTCCCGTACCTCCTTTCTATAAACGTGAAGACCTAACGCTAGATGGTAGAAATTCAAGGATTTCTTGGCAAAATAAACAACTTCTTCACCAAGGTGCTTCTGGGAATTGACAGTGGAATATTATTAGCTTGCCTAGTGGAATAGTGCCTTGCTGAAGAAAGTTGGTGATAGTATTTCCTATAGACCAGGCAAACACTTTCCAGTATATTTAAGCATGGCACAGTTAAAAGTCTATGTGAGAAATGAAGATAGGTTTGCTCTTTTTTGTGAAATAAATATGGAGTTGAAATTTGTTGTAATGCAACAGCCCCAAAATGCAATTCCATAAGTAATGTGAAACTGCACCAGAGAAAAATATGCAGTCCTGAGAGCTCTAGGCTCTAACTGCTTTGAGAGTAATCGAAAAGCATAACAGCTATATGATGATCTACTAGAGTGCCACAATATGCTGAAGAAACTTAGCACAGGCGGTGGGATGAATAAAATCATCACATAAGGAGATATTGAATAATACGAAACTAACCTCAAATCTAAATTACAAAAACAAAAACACAAGGGAAAAACAACAACAGAGAAATGAGACTCATAAAGAAGGGAATGATTCGTCTTCTCCCAATCTTATAAAGGGCATAGTGATATTTTGACAAGTGAGATAGGTTTGGATGGTTATCAAGTCTATTGGTGTGACAGATCAACAAAAAAATAGCGCCTGTAAGACTCAGGGTGGAGTACTCATAGCAGTCAAAAACTGTTTATCCTCAAAAATTATGATGACACCTATTCAAAGTGTTGAGCAACTTTTTGTGTCAGTCACCATTGACAGAATTTTTTTTTGTGGGAAATGCTTATATCAGTATCCCAAGAACATTAACAGGCGATATTTATGAGAGCTTTTGTTTCTCTCTAATCCATCTACTTGAGAGTCAGAATTTTGCCGATATTTTTATCTGATAGGGTAACTTCAATTTACCCATTATAACATGGGAAACAACAGCAGATAGATCTATACTTGTTGGTCTTCTATCCAAGCAAGTAATTACTGTGGGAGATTGTGTGGCTTATTTAGGCCTTTACCAGGTGGAGATATTCCTAATGTTTTTGGGAATTACTTAGATGTATTGTTTTGTAAAGTTGTGATATTAAAATATCTATGTGCAATAATCCCGTACTCAAGGTGAACCTACCATAGCCAGCGTTTGAAGGCGCTTTTTTTTACCCTTCAAACCTTTCTTGTGACAATTTTTATTCAAATTTTAAACGTGCTCCTTCCAGCGGAATAAATTCTTATCTTTCCTGTACTGACTGGGATTCAATTTTTGAGTGCACAGATCGGAATACTGTGGTTTCTAAGTTTTATAACGTACTCTACGGCATCATTGAAATTTTCACCCGCTCTTATCTAGATTCAAACAAGAAAAATTTGGGAATGGGTCCTGATGGGATTCCCGTGTCTGTGATACAAAATTCTAAATATAATTTATGTACGACCCACACTGTAAGAGCTTATGACGTAACTCATTTTAGCCTGCTTGATTTACGTAATAAGTTATATTATCATACTTAGTGATGTAATATAAATGACTAGTGATGTAATGAGCTCATTACGTAACTCATTTTCATTGAAAAACGGCACTTTGTAAAATTCATTTATTCGGAAAAGTTATAAATTTAGTCTATTGTGAAAAATTAAAAACATTTCTAATACACACAAAAAAATCTAGGTCGTACATAAAATGTTGTATATCACACGTAGGGTAACGCTCATTACACCACTCGTGTGAGAACCACGACTCGGTCTACGACCTCGTCTTGGCAATATTTACCACTCGTTATTGTAAT